TCAAATCCGGATGTTATGAATAAGGACGGGAGGTAACTCTTATCCGATTTACTGAATCTTTTTATACAAAGCGAGTGCGGTAAAGGTACCAAACTTTTGATACAAGTTAATTTTATACAAATGGATACATATAATCTTAGATTACGGTAACTTGTATCTTCTATAATACGAACATTTAACAAAGGTCTTATTTACAAATAAACATATCTTTCAATATAGAATTCATGAGATCTAAGTCTATTAATTTGATTCTTTGAAGTGTTTAAAGCCTAATTTTGTACATCGAACTTAAAAGACATCTACCGTACCTGATAAGTTTAATTTAAAAGTCTATAGGTTGAAAAAGATTACAAGAGGGAAACTACAAATTCTTAAAAAACACCATATTTAGAATAAATCGGTAAAATGTATCAATACATAAAAATTATGGTACAAATAAGTACACAAATGTACAGAACTTTAAAAATGAGGTATAAAAATAAAAATAAAAGTATCTCACCTGAAAAGATTATGGAGACAGCCTGTTAAAGGGTACCCTGAGAGGTCAGCTATGTTGACCTTGAAAAATAGTTCTGCACATAAAATACACTATGCCGAAAACGCGAATGCCGTGGAATGTTCCGTTACTGAGAAATTGCGACTTTTCTGAAAAACACACCTTTGGCTGAGAGGCATTGACCTCGTTTTCGGGCACCCAAACCTGTGACGTCATAAGTTCAACGCTTTTGTTGATGCAGCCATATTGTCTTTACTGTGCTACATGTGATTGTGATCTATTTTGGGATTTTCCGTGGTAATTTCTTTGTTTATTTACGTGAAAGTACTTCACATCTTCGCAATATCTAAGGTAGTGAACGAGGGGTCGGTGAATTAGCGCTTAAATCCGCTAAAATGGCTTCCTATCGAGGAGGGAAGCGGTGTGTATGGTTGTCCTAACACTAACACGGATGGGGTGTCGATGCATGACGTCGATAAATAAAACTGATTGTTGATTAAATAAAAGTATATTTGTTAGGTTGATATTTTGTTATTAATTCTACAACTAAACATTTTAAATTGATAGGCTAGCCTATGACTTGGGCGGTCATAGGAATATTATTCCTTCGTAATCGTGAACGCCTAATACTCGGAGAAGGCCTAGTCGTGAATGAGTCACGGGAATTTTCACCCCGAGAATTTTCATACTACTATTATATAGTATAGAATAGAATTATTAGAATTTATAGAATAGGTTAAGTGTGCATGTTGATTGTATAACGTGCATTTGGTTTTTAGATCTTCCAGCAGACGATGTTGTTTAGTTATTAATTTTGCGATCGTAAAAATAACAAAAAGATCACCAATCTTGATTTGAAAACACAGTTCACCGTGTAGAGATGTCATCTAAACTCCTAATCACACCTGTGCCAGGTTAGGTCATTAGCACCACCGTGGCTGGAAAAAACAATTGTGACACCTGTGAGGCGACACGCCTGTCGGATAACAACAGACGCGTACCAGTGCTAGGGTAAAAACCAGTCAAATAATTGTTTAAACTTCTAAAACATCAAATTTTTATTATTAACACAGCGGAGGGTGTTATAATTGGTTGTGACACCCTATCTATATATATCCATAGTGCTACGAAAATTCCCTGGAAAGAAAAATTCCCCTCGGACGAAACTTCTTCGGTAAGAAAATTCCCGACACCTCGTGAAAGTATGCATATTCTTGCACAAACGCGATTTCCCGACGTCAGAAATTGTTGATCGAGACTTGAAGATAGTAAAATTAGTCCAAAACCACACCCAGTTTTATTTTGTTTCTTTGAAACGACGATTCACTGTTCGACTACTTTCACGACTACTGGTGAGACCCAGTGAAGTACGTGCCAATCTATGTTGCCCAAGCGATCGTCACTTTTCGAAGGGTCATTTTCCTCCTCACTGGATACATCGTCTTGTAATTCCAGTTCAAATCGGTAGGGCTGGATTCCGTCTTCAGACATATAATTCACACCATAATCAGACTCCTCAAAACTCATGCTCAAATCGCTCTCAGTTGCGGTGTCGTTGTCACTGTCAGTCATGTTGACTGCCATTTCTGTTGAACTTATGACGTCACGAGTAGAAGAGCCTCGATTCCGCGGAAATGACGATTCGGCTGATTAGGTCTGGGCGGACAGGTGAAAATCGACAACTTTGAGCTTTAATAACTCGACACTGGGGCGACGGGTTTTGACGGGGTTTTCATTATTATTATTTTTACGGCATTCTTAACATTATATCTAAATATAAAATTACTCTCAGGATTCGTTATTCTTTATTGGCGTCACGGCTTCAAGTGACCAGTGTGACGCGATACTACCAAACTTACTCAGGAGTCTCCATGAATTTGATTGGTCAGATCTTGGAACCTTTCAAATTGATTGGTCAAGACATAGCGTGGGTTCGGACAAAGAAAAAAGTGAAAAACATCTTTCTAGCAGGTTTGTTACATAAGCCTACCTGAGTCCTAATTGACTGTGACACGGCCGATAATTCTTTAACAGAGGACGAACGATTGAATAAAGCCTATACCTGAGTTCTTAATTGGTATGACAGCTGGGATTAACAAGATCACATAGACTGGCCGCAGTGAACAAGTGACTGGACTGTAAGAAAGTAAATCTTGTTTGCGAGACCTTTTTAGCCTTCAAATAATGTGGCTTGGTATAGGTGATACTTAATTTGGGCATTACATTAATTTGAACTCTTACGTAAATATATAGCTAAGTGACAGATGTCAGAACTCTTTACAATAATAGAGTTAGTTATTTTATAGGAAAAAGGAAAACTTACAAAATACATGTATTTATAGAGAAACATTGAAATAGATTTAAAAAAAAAGTTTCATTTGATTTTTAGGCGAGATAGAAAAATATAAAAAATATCAGTATGATAATTATGCGAATCCGGTTACATCATACGACACGAATAACAGGAAATGATAAGATTTTGGTTTGCCTTGACTGATCTTGCGTGACACAAAAAATACCATGCTGGACAGATGATGCTGTATGCAATCGCCAACTCATATCAAAAGGTCTGTTTCTAATTTTTTGCACGTCTGATATTGTTCAATTCACCAGAGAATAATTTCAAGCAGATTCTTCCATAGCAAATCTCAGAACTGTTTTATCGTACTTGTAACATGAACTTTATTAAAAACTGTTTCTTTTAAGTACAGTGAAATCTGTCTAAACCGGATTCTGTGCGATCCAGATTTTAGCCTAACCGGTCCGGAAGTTAGGTCTGAATTCTATAAACATTATAACAATGAACTCTCTACAATGCGGAACTCTCTACAAACAGGCCAAATTATTCGGTCCCAAAGGTGTATGGTCATCACTGTAAAATTTATTCACTGTTGTTGTTGTTTTTTTTTTTTTCTAGTTGTGTAAAGGAATTTTCGATAAATGATAAACCTAGCGCGAGGACAAATGTTCCTTCTGACAAATGATTTAAACACGGGTATTCAAATATCAATTAAATACAAATTTATGATGAATTACATACAATTAACAAATACATACTTGGCACATAATTTTAATGTGGAACAGTTTAGATTTATTTTACTCGAGTTTACACGTTGGTGTCTAGTCACAACAAGTTTATTGAAACGCCTTTCAAAATAGATTTCTGGTTAGTAAAATAAGCACTCGGTTTGTCAGTGTTACTGTAAATTTAAAACCGAAACTTCTACAAGAAGACCCGGGTTACATTTAATAGTTTGTCCTTCTATGTAGTACTTTGATATGGTATTTTGGTGTGTTTTAAACCGCTAGCTGTCTGACAGATCTACGTCGTCGAAAGTCGACCCCCACAAAGTCTTATCTCATCAAAATCACATTAACAGATATTAACGGACTAATCCCACCTTATCTCTTACCGCCCAGAGTCAGGGCTCTGCACGAGACATAATCAAAAGTGGTCTACTATTTAGGAAATATAATAATCCAAAATGATAATTGCAATCAATTACATCGTAACATAACACATAACGAATTTCTTAACAAAGTTATATACATATGACATTGTATTCAATACAAACTTGGGTACAATGTATTTTTGTGTGCAATATAGATCTATATATATGCATATGTACAATATATGTATACGATATATGTTCCTTAATACGTACTCAGTATTTACAAGTATTTGTAAGTACAACTTACAATAGTGTGAACGCTAACGTCGATACTGTACATTGTGTTTTATAATTTTTTTGACTTAAAGAATTGGAATATTTTATATAGTACCAATGCCTCGCATATGTCACATTTACCGCTTACAGTTTAGTGTAAAAAAAAAGATAACAAAGGATTGAAAATTGCTCAGCCGTGTTAAAGAGGAATTAAATAGCAGTTTGTCAGGTAAAACTCAGGTGTGTAGGATATAATTGGGTATTGATCAGATTTATTTGAGAACTGGCGGGCTTGTTTTGTCAAGATCAGACACAACAGTTCGGGTGATCGGCTCAAAACTAACCTAGGATAAACAAAACTCAACATGTGGTATTTCGTATTTGACAACTGCATACAGGTATACATACGGTATTGAATATGTCACGTTTCTGCCGAGTGATTTAAGTAGGGCTAATTCCTAAGTCACGGATTTATATTTGGATACGTCGTTAGTCTTTTAAAACTTATTAAGATATTTTGGCGAGGCATTCATTATCTACCTAACAGAGTTTACACCAGGCCAAACGTATTGTTGAGCAGGTGGTGACGTCATACTACAAGGGTAAGGTTGCCCCGTATCGATTCACAGCGTCCGATCTATCGGAGCCCGTGGCCGCTGGTGTCAGTTTGTACCGGTGAGTAGATGGGTATACATATATACACGTGTATGTACATGATGTAAGCAATACCTTACACCTCCAATAATACACATGTGTACCCCATACCTGACGTGTGTGTGAGGACGTAAGAGGCACGAGGTGACCGACTAAAGCACACAAACTATACAAACAAACAGCCCGACAGAACAGTATTGGCCACATACACACTACACGTGCATTATCTTGGAGACTCTGCACAGACGCTGTTGGCTATATCTACCGATAACTGAAAACACGAAGAATACGTGAACCGGTGTGAAATGTACAACCTGTGCTGAGGCAACTGTTTAGCACGCTCCTTTAAGGATCAACGCTAAATCCTGAACATACAATTTTTATCATAAAAGCAGTGAATGGCAGGTTCATATATTTCATCGAATTTGTGAATTGTCAAGAATTTTGCTTTGAAATACGTCCTAACGCCCTTGAATTGAACCCAGAGGTTAGCGATCTGCATTGCACATAATTGTGTACAAAGTGCATTGAAGTTGCTATATTTGGGATACTGCGGTGTGTTGCAAACTTCGAAGGGTATTTCTAGATTGATGCATCCGGTGTAACGAAAGGTTCGGTGTAGCGGATTTCTCCGATGTAACGAAAGGTTCGGTGTAACGGATTTCTCCGGTGTAACGAAAGGTTCGGTGTAACGGATTTCTCCGATGTAACAAAAGGTTCGGTGTAACGGGTTTCTCCGGTGGATATATTATACGGTATAATTGTGGCTTCCCTAGTTGACCTTGAAAGACTGTTTGGTCGTGAATTGGAAAGTTTAAATATCAGTGTTGTAAACAGACCTGTTGCAGTATTGGACACATCACGTGACTGGGTTGTCTCCCCTAATAGTCCCTCCCGTCATACCATGGCAAATTCTCACTTCACCATCTCCCCCCGGGACGCTGGTCGTCTAGTGCAATCACATCGAAAGTCTGAAGATGAACAACATTGTTTTCTACTTCAAATTTCATTCCAAACAGTGTATAGTGATGCGGATATTCCAAACAGTGTCATCAAAAAACTACCACGTCTAGTAAATGGTATTCCGCTTGGAGCCGGGCTTATGGCCCGAGATCAGATGGGCAGTATTCGATGGCGGTACATAGAAGGCGGACGTAAGATGCATACTTTTGTGTCCAAACCAATCAGTCAAGAGGACGCGGAGGAAACGAAACGAGCTTTAAAAGACAGACTAGTTAAACAGTCTCATGCGATATTCGGAGACATTACGGTTAAAGCTACCGTTATTTTATCTCAATGTTTAAACTTTGACGACGATTTTATCATAAATGACATAGCTATACCACTAGACGAGGGTCTACACTTCAGGGACTAAACCTGTCATATTCTTTTTGTAAATTTGAGGTTGAGGTTATTTATTTTGTTTTCTGGATTTCTATATCATTTTTAAGTTTGGCGTAGAAACAGTTTGAGTATTTGCTAGTCATATCCACGTTATGTTGTCCCGAAGAAAACAATATAAGTGTCTGTGCACATGTGCACGTGTATATGTATGTTTGCGTATGATTAGGAATATTTTTGTTTTGTTTTTGTTTTAAGTTGACACGAGTGTGAACGGGCGAGGGTGCAAGTGTTGTGCACGTGAGAGTATATGTTCAGTGGTAATGCGAGATTTCCAGAAATGCGCGTGTACTTTATATTTGTGCGAAGTCACGGCGGGGAGAATATTATTAGTAACTGAGTGATTAAGAGACATCATACAGGTTTACACGTCAGTGCACGTGCCAGTATAAATCTAAGAGGCTGTCAGATTTATTTTGTTTTTTGGCTTTGAGAGGGCATGGCGGTTTGTCCGGTAAGTGGGGTATGTTTACACTTGCGTGCGCCGAGCGATGTTGATCAATATGGAGTAGTGGTGCACAACGCATGCGCGTGGGAAATGAATGTCAAGCAAGGTGAATTAACTGATTCTACACAAACGTATACCTTGTATCATATTTCTCTACCATTGTCTTTCATGGACCCTAAATTATCTTATATTTGTTAAACAAAAAATGTTGTTTAATATTTCGCCTAAGTAGTATTGATTTTATATACTGGTATGTGTTGGTATGTCTGTGGTAACCGTCAATACACGTGCATCTGGCACACAAACATCGTGATGTGTCTGTATTCTATTACATGTATCTTGTGTACAATCACTCGGGCTACGTGAGCGTATGTCTGAAGGTATTTACATACTGTGATGTTGATACTGATACACTACTATACCTATCTATAGTATACTTACATACGATACATACATAATACTTATCTATCATACTATATTTTGTTATGACATATTTATTGCGGTACTACTGAATGTTAAAATTATCTTTTTTTTTTTTTTTGTGCTACAATTTCATGTCACAATTCATATATCACTGTTTCAAGGAATCTGTCATTATCCACCATTTGCAGATGTGAAAAACAGTGTTCTGAATCATAAAGGATCACCAGAATATGACAGAAATCATATAATATATGAATATTTATCTACGTGTTATCCACATAAAAGATTCCGCTGTGAGGGAGGGATGACAACGGTTCTGAAGAGAAGAGACAGATAAATTTGATATAATGTGAGTGCAATTTTGTAGAAGATTGTCATGACAATGACTTCATCAAAGTCTTTTCCTACAGAAGTATTCATCCATAATATCACATACATCTGCTATGTATTTTACAGCATCGTTATTTTTTTTTTAACTTTTGACTGAACAGATAGGAAAATAGATAAATAAGAGTTAAAATATGTTATAGAAATCGATTTGCGATGAGGCTCAAGAGGGATGGGGTAACTCTTAAGACTATCTTCGCGATTATCTATGATACAATGCATATTAGAATTAAAATAGTCTACCGTCAAGGAAATGAAAAGTCGAAAGAGACAATTATGTATCTATGTTTTCCTTATAGAGACTAAAGGGCCATACATATATAGTATTAAATTAATCGTCACATTCTAAATCATTCGCTTTCACGTCTTATCCGAAGCGTGAAGTTTCATGGACAAACCTGGAAAATTAGAGTGGTATCCTGATTTATGGTCCTATGGATGCCATTTCTTATGGTTACTGTTTACATTGTAATAGAATGTAATTAATTGTAATAGAAAAATTAAACGCGAACGACGGATTTAATCGCAGAAAAAGTATTACCAACAGATAATTGTAGATGATTACTTAAAGGTTTTTATACACTATTTCCACGTGGAACGGGAGTGTAGTTCTTTATTTACATCTAATTTTATTCAAACAACAGAGATCGAACTCCAGTTTCAAACTTTTTATAAAAATAATTGATAAAAAAACATACATTTGTATCTTATGAAATTAATCTGAAATCTTACGTCAAACAAAATAGACATCATAAATATATGTCGCGATTATTCTAAATGACCTTAATCAGATGATCCTCCAAATATTATATATCACAGCATGGAACAAAAGGACTCACACAGACTGTATAATTGATCTTCGATAATCCGTACGCTAACACCGAGGGTTCGGTAGACACTTGTAGGACGCCAGTGTCGGTCGTTGCTGTACGGCTTTGTGTATCAATTGAAGCGATTAGTATACATACTTAGTACGAATACACAGTGTCCTTTTTTCTATTACAAATACATGACTGACTTTTGTTACATCCATTTAAACCCTTGAATAGCTTGTATTTGAATTTGTGCAAATGCGCAATGTTAATATTTTAACAGCTTGCCAACTCAAACTGACCTTAACCCACATAACGTATCAGCTATTGGAATTAAGCACTGTATAATTTGTGCCATATCGATCGAAGAGCCGATTCTAATTTTGCGACGTATACCAAACACTGTATTATCTGTATCCAGTGTCCTGCTAGCATTCATGGAGTGTCGTAGAACCATATCATGTAATTCAGGTGTCGTTCCGTTTAAAATGAATGAAAAGACCAACCTTTCTTAGCGACTAACTACATTAAGAGGTCATATTCTATATCAATATCAGCCCTACCTCTATAGATCAGCCTATCTTGTTTTGTAATGTGTTGCCAATAAATGTTTAAACTTATAATGCATTAAACACGAAATATTATTATTTGCAGTGAACTGAACACACTGATCTATTCATCGTTGTTTACGATGCCAAGATGATGCTTTTTCTGCCCGATTTGAATGTTGACAGGAGCGTCGGTTTCTAGTTCAGACATATATCTCATTATTATTGCCAATTGATATTTATCTTAGCGCAAAGCTGTCAAAATAATGATAGAATCACATCCGTATCCCTATCCAAACGTGCAGGGATTTATTCATTTATTTCTCTATTTTTATTCATCGATTAATTTATCAATCCAGCTGGTCATAACATGATCGCCACATGTCGGAATAGTCTTCCAAACTATATTCTCGTTAATGTCCTGGTAAAAAAATAAGGTACTCGTTAAAATCTGCGAATGCAAGAAACTATAAGTCAGGATAGAGAGTCGACCAGTCCCAAAAGTGTTACCGCCCTTGCCGAGTCCGACCATGAATTCGGGTCAAATAAAAGAAAAAAAATGTGTTAAACAGCAAAGGGAGGATTTACTGGCATTTAGGAGCGAATTAAAATTTACAACTACATTTAATAATTACTTGTAGCTGAACATTCTGGAAATATCACATCTCTATACAAATTATCCGTAAAGCTGTACAAAACATACAGAAATGATAAGTTCATATGAGCGCTAAAAACAAAATACGGCCTTGGTAAGGTTATCTAAGTTATCTGTGAGAAATCAATAGCTCCACTCTTTCAATGGTTTTGTAAACTATATAGATAAGACATGTCAGATTTCTTCACTTATTTTTTTGTTTGTTCGCTGAATTTGTCTCCCCTTTAACAGTTATGGATATATTGAGGCAGAGTCTCCTTTGAGGTCTGATATTTGAGCTTCCAGAGAAGTCGGCCTAGTTAGGGAGTGATTTATATAGACCAGTCAATCTACGACAAAAATGGGCCCAACCTCCAACTAATTGCAACAGAATTTATTTTGTGTTTTCCTTGCACGTACATATACACATGTCAACATATCAAAAGTCTAGAAAAATCTAAATAGGGCAAAGACTTTGAAATTGATTTTTATTTCGACACCATACCACAATTTTTTGGGGCTTTTGATTATTTATTTCAGCCATAATCATCATGTTATGACAGAGTCAATAATATTTATAACATGATTTAATTTCATAGAATGTCAACCGTATGCCTAGTCACTGATAGATAATTTAAATATCAGGTTAACATTTTACTAAAAATGAGTATAATTAAATAGACATAATATAACCCCCCCCCCCCACAAAATATAACCTAACCCCCTCCCCCCGATCCACACAAATACTTTTCAAGATTTTTTTTTCAAGATTTCATTTAGCCACCCAGACACATGAAAATGTGTTCCATGAGGTACAAAAGTAATACCTATCAAACAGCACATGGCAAGATGGACAAAATATCATTGGTTACAAACTTCGATTACAATTACATTTATAATCAATAATAACTTGGTTTTGTATAAAATGCCTACTTATAGTACTTACACGTATAACACATTAACCTATAGCACTTACTCATTTAACACTTATAACAGTTATTCTTATAGCACTTACACCTTTAGCACTTATACCTAAGGCACTTATACATATAACAATTATACTTATAGCACTTATACATATAACAGTTATTCTTATAGCACTTACACCTTTAGCACCTAAGGCACTATACATATAACAATTATAGCACTTATACCTAAGGCACTTATACATATAACAATTATACTTATAGCACTTATACCTCTTTCACGTAAAGCACTTATACTAATAGTACTTAATACACCTAAATCACTTATACCTATAGCATTTATATTTATACCACCTTCATATATAGCACTTTTAATTATAACACTCAAACCTTTATCACTTTTACCTCTGACACTTACACTTCTAACACTTGCACTTATAGCACTTACACTTTCAGCACTTATACTCATAGCACATATACTTACAGCACTTACACTTTCAGCACTTATACTCATAGCACTTATACTCATAGCACTTACACTTTCAGCACTTATACTCATAGCACATATACTTATAGCACTTATACTCATAGCACTTATACTCATAGCACATATACTCATAGCACATATACTTATAGCACTTATACTTATAGCACTTATACTCATAGCACTTATACTTATAGCACTTACACTTTCAGCACTTATACTCATAGCACATATACTTATAGCACTTATACTTATTATCAAATTATAGCAATTTTAGTCAATTTCCTAAGGAAAAGTTTAACATTACAGATACTACAGTGTAATAAGTCCAATCCAATACTAGGATTTTGGCGGTAATACACGAATGTTTTACACGAATACGAACAGGTAGTGAAACTCGTCTCCTGTGTTATCATTACACAAATGATATATTCTGTTTTGTTTTGCCACACTATGCCATCTTCCATTTCCAATAGGAATATTTAAATTTGACATACGAAATTTAGTTAAAAACTTCCTATTCATCTCAGATAATTTTACCAAGTATTCTTCAAATCTAAATTCTTTCTTAAACAATAAGTAGGTCTGTCCTGTTGAAGAGAGTTCGGCATCTGAGAACCACTTCTGAACTACTGATCTTGAATACGTTATCTTATAGAGTATCTATAAAAAACTCTCCATCATTTGTTTTTCGTTAATAAAGATGTTTGAACGACCCGATTCGTCAAAAATCTTTTTTACAAAAGTGATCCATTTAAAACTATGGACTCCTTCAGTACGTAAATTTTGGATCAATTTGTAGAGTACACTACTATGTTTGTTTTCATTGAGTATAAGTCTATTCCAGAATGACAGCATTCTCAATTTAATTTTAATTTCAAGGTGGAATCTTCCAAGCTCCCCATACACCATATAATTTGGGGTAATATTTCTTAATTTTAAAATTCTTTTACAAAATTTGAGATGAGTTTGTTCAATACGTTTGATGTCTTGAAATCCCCATACTTCTGATTCGTACATCATTAGACAATGTGTTTTCAAAAGTTATCAAATGTATCATTTATTACTTATATTTCAACCAAACTTTTTCTGTT